CACAGCCAAGCCAAGCCAAGCCAAGCCAAGCCAAGCCAAGCCAAGCCAAGCCAAGCCAAGCCAAGCCAAGCCAAGCCAAGCCAAGCCAAGCCAAGCCAAGCCAAGCCAAGCCAAGCCAAGCCAAGCCAAGCCAAGCCAAGCCAAGCCAAGCCAAGCCAAGCCACGCAGCACAAACTTGGAGGGTCGGGCTTAGCACTGGGGAAGCCTGCCTCAGGGTCCCCTATTTTGGGAGGACTGGCCAAGGGGGGCTAACCCTGGACAGCTGCCAGCAATGCCTCTGCTGGGAAAGCAGCAGGCATGTGCGAGAGCTGCTTGCTGCGAAGTCTGAAGAAGCCCCAGCTCCTCTCGAGTGACAGACACGCTTCTTTTTAACATTAGAAGCCCACGGACAGATCACTTCACAGAGATTATGGCTGATGGTGGTGTGCTAAAAGAGTGGGACTGGGGAAGCTCAGGGGCAGTGCCCCACTGAGCCTCGGAGCTCATGGGGCAATTTGGGGCTAGCCGCGGTCTCTCAGTCTAGCCTTCTCTCACGGGTTTCTTATTGTGGGGATCAAAGGAGGAAAATTAAACCATAAATGTGAGGGGAAAGAAGCAAACAAACAAACAAACAATGAACGAATAAGATCACGCCAAATCACTGCTGGTTTAAAGTCAATACTAAAGAGTAACCTTGGGAATTAGGAGGAAAAGCGAGAAAGCAAATCTTGAGCTGGCGGAAGGGGTCTGAGATGCCAGTGAACTGAACCTGCCCTCGATCTTACCGCCTCTTTCTCTCTATCCATGATTGTTTCCAGCTCTTCAAAATGACGAAGCTTGATCTCCAGTTTCTTCATTTGAGTTTCCACGAGGAGAGCTACCAAAGACTTGATCTTCCTTTCCTCAACTGCCGCCAGATGCTAAGGAAAAACATACCCATTTTACCTGGATGCAGGACCAGCAATTTGGTCTCTGTAGTGCTGAACAGATTTTTTCATTTATTTAAAATATTTAGGTTTTCATTTTCCACCTTCTAATAGTCATCTATTTCAGATTTCCCAGAACACTCCTGAATTTGCTTTAAACAAAACTGAAAGCATTAACAAAAGCAGGTGGAAGTGACCGTAGGATCACTCCAGAGGCAGATCTACGGGTTCAACAGTGCCTTATTTTGGTGTTATCAACAGCACTGCTGCAGTATCTGCCTGGCGACTATTTAATGCTGAGATTTCTTAGAGGGTAAATGAAGCCACTGCTATATCCTTCCTTGTCATTAGTATAAAGTAATGATCTAGAAGCTGCTTAATAACTAAATCTGAAACTCTATTAGCTACCTTAAGACGGTGCTTATTGTAACAAGGGGACGTATTAGATTTTCACTGATGAAATAATTTCATTTATTCTGATGACTCTGAAAACTGAATTCTGGAAGCTAACGTGTCTGGGAGAGACTGCTCGGGATGACTTCTCCACCCAGGTTGTGATCAGGACCACCCTAGGGAGAAGGGCTGTCAAGCGGATGTGACATTATGGGGGTATATTTCATCAAACCATGATGGCCCTGGATCCCCGACACCAAAGCAAAGCCTGCAAGAGGAATTAGCATTTCCGGCAAACGCCAACAAGACAGGAGAGGGATTGCTAGCACTTCTGCTTTGGAAGGTGAAAGTCCGACATCTTCCCTCACAGGCGCTCAGAGGGTATAAAGGCAAGGGGCACAAAATGACCGCATTAGGTAGACCTGCCCTCTCTCTCCCGTAGCCCCTGTCTTCATCAGGCAGGTGAAATGGGGGCTTAGCTGGGGCACGAGGTCCCCTCCTGCATTTGATTTCCATTTGCATTTTTACTCCTTGCCTCAATGAGGAGCAATGGGGAATCCTGTTTTCTGAACCTGATTTGCCCAGGATGTAAACAACTGAAGCCAGTAGGAGCTCTGACACAGCCACCCGGGCTTCAATTAAAGCACCCCTACATAGCAGGAGTGTGTTCTCTGGCTCCTGATTTTTCCATCTTCAACTTCATTTTTCTGTCAAAAAGAGGAAGGCACTACGTAGTCCTTGTGGAAGAACGACACCATGTGAAACTGCACTGCAGCCGCGGTTCCTAAGAGCAGGACCCAAGTAGCCGACAGTGGATGTAGCACGGATGTCCTTGGCAAAAGGATCCCCTGCTCATTAGCTTAGAAATCGGAGAATGGGGCAGGAGAGAAAGCAAGAGTTTGTGGCATGCCTTAAGCCCAGAGAAAAGAAGGAAACCTTTCCCTCTGTTTCTGCAAGTTCCACATAATGGGCTGCTTTCAGCCCCACGACCCCCCTCCCAAATTCAGGCTGGAATGTGTTAGCTTCCCTCCAAGTGAACGTTAGTGGGCCTGTGAGGGAAAAAAGGCTTGGCTCGAGCTTCTCAAGCCTTCAAAATGCCGAAAGAAACGACCCATCAAGGCCTAAAGAAGAAGCTGGCAAACTTTCTGGGAGGGCACTCAGGAAGCTTACAATAGCGGCCTTAAACCAGCAAGAAGGAAACAAATTTCATTTAATGGTAACCTTCGTACAGCTGAAGCGGAGGAGCACAAACAGAGCATTTGAAGGCCTCAGAAACAGGAAAAAAATCCCAGCGGATTGCCACAAAGGGATCGTTTGAAAAGCACCGGAAATCAGATGCAGTGGAAATCAGTCCTTGACAAACCTTGGCTTTGGTGGCAGCCGACGCAAGAGCAGCAGCTGCGGCCGTCGCAACGTTCCCTTCCGAGATCTCGTGCTCTGCTCTCCTCTTTCCAGCGCTGCCTTCCTTGTCTTTGCAAACATCAAGGTTCTCCTTGTTCTCTTCTGCCTCCTTCTCATCTGAACAAAGCACCCCAGTTAGCCTCACATCACCTTCTATTCCCACCGCTGGCCTCACCTCCCACTCGGCTTCTGCAGAAGAGCACCGACCTCATTCCGGCATTATCAGCAAGAGAGGCCCGTTGAGTCAACTCCCGTTTTGCCTACCCTGCTGTGGATCCCTGGGGGCTCTCTCTGCACTGGTCCTAGAACAGGATACGCATGCCTGCTACCTATCCCCACCCCAGTCGGGAGGTACTGTGCCATACCCACTCAAAATGAACCTGTGCAACTAAAAAAAGAAACCAGTCGCTTGTCAGGCTTCACATCTGGCACAGTGACCAATCGTGCCTCTCTGAAAACTCAAGCCCTCGTTCAGTAACTAGTGAACAGCAGAATATGAGACAGAAGTCCTATCTCTGCAGAAAATCTGCCTGTTGTAGAACACATAAATCAAGCCGTGTGTGTGTGTGTGTGTGTGTGTGTGTGTGAGAGAGAGAGAGAGACAGACAGACAGACAGACAGAGACAGAGACAGAGACAGAGAAAGCATGTGCAAGTGCGAGCACCCCAGGGTTGAAATGTTTAGTCTTGTTCTTCCAGCCTTTTGAAACACGGAACTTCTGATTGTTCTTTTTCACAGCCCTGAGAATTGGAGACTTCTCTTCTGTATTTACATTACAATTTTATCTGGTTGGAGAATCACTGGTTCCCACCTTGCCAGCTTCAATTCTTACTTCACTAAAGCTAAACCAGATTGCATGTTACAGCAGGGAACAATGGCAGCGAGCCACAGATTTACCCCATGCCCATCTGGAAGGAAACCCAGACAGTTCCCAGGGCACGCTGCCTACACTTACCTCTTCTCCTGATGCTGTAAGTGCATCATCTGCCACCTTGAGCCAAGTTAACAATGCTACCTCCAGCAAGCTTTCACTATTCCACTTCCTTTTCACTATGCCAAGTTGATTAAATATGGCCAAGTGAACCGTTGTAAAGCAGAGACACGCAGAAGGAACGCATCTATGTCCAGAGCACGGCAGGTTACGCCAAAGTCTTCCCGGTTTGCCCATTCATTCTTTCAGATCAGGGCTGAACCAATGGCTTAGCCATAAAAAGAAATACCCACCCCCCTACATTTCAGCCTGGACCGTGTTAGCTCAGTATTAATTACCCGGAGTATACAACCAAGATGAAAAGAGTTTGTAAGTGAAGCATGAAAGGATTTCAAATCAAGATTTAGTGCCTGAGCCAAGGCTCGTGAGATGAAGGCAGAAAATTTACTGCTGTATTCTGAAGCAGACCGTGCTAGGAAGAGGGGAATACATCTGTTACAGCCAAATTTATGGGGCGTTCCTGGAACAATAGGGAAAACCTCTGAAAGCCAATGCACATTTCCGTGTGCATGCGCGTGCGCGTGCAACAGCAGTCCCTTACCATGTTTGGGATCCTGAGGGACATCACCATCTTGCTCTTTTTCTGCAATTCTCTCCTCTTCTCCTTCCTGTAGCTTGTTTCCATCTATTTCATTCTCTCCTTTGCTTTCTACCTAGAATGGTAAGAATAGAGAGCAGCTGATTAATATATCCAATAGTTAAAAAAGAAAAGGCTTAAGACAACCTAACCTCAGCCTGACAACCAATAGCCATCAAACAGCACCCTAGATTAAGCGGAAGAAAAAAATCCCTACTTCTAGAGGAGCATTTCCTGATAACCTGACATGACTATTCTGCAACTCTCCAGAACCCGGGCAGAGAGCCTTTGCTCAGCCACGAGGGGAACCAGTGCTGCTTCTCCACTTCAAGGTTCTGGGACTCTGTCCCTGCCTGCACCAAACCATATTCTCCGTAGTCTAGAGGGAAAACAATATGCTCGTTACTCTGTCAGCAGCAGATGTAACAAATATACAAATAAGGTATTACTTAAGTAGAAAACAACGTGGTTACCTAAACATATTAATTTGAGCTCACTCAACCCTGCGTGAGAAAAAAAGTGCACTTGACTTTGTCTGACCTTAACTTTCTCTGCTTGTGTTCCATCTGCGTCGGTCTCCATCTTTTCTTCTTCAGCTCCATCTGTAAGACAGAACATCAACACTTAATACAAAGAAGACCTCATAGCAATAGGAATGGATTGCTGGACAACCTCGGTGTTTCACTTGTGCAGCTGAGCAACCTTTTCAAGGGCCTGGATGCAGCTCACCAGAAGCTTATTTGATTAGCAGCCTCCTTCCTCTTGCAAAGTTCAGAAGCAGGTGTACTCGGCAATTATCCTCTTCCCTTATTTTCCCCCAGCAACTCATACTGTGAACCACTCTGGAGGATGTGCATAACTGTTACATGTAATAGTTCACTGACACTGTTACTGATAGGTATCTGGATAATCATGGCACAGGAGCAGCTCACACACACACACTTGGCACTGGAGCTTTGTACAAATCCAGAAGATATAAACAGCCCACAGTGCTCAGGAAGAGGAATAGAACTTACAGATCAACATTACCCAGAACTAAGGCCAAGTACAGAGGAAGGACCTGGGTATCCAAAAAGACCTCCCATGCTTTCAGAATTATGGACATTCCAGCAAGATGTGCTTCCTACTGAAGGGAACAGTACATGGGAAGGGCATGCCTGTGATGCTCCTATCGGTAGAAATGAAACTTCAGTGCTCAGCCCATGCTCAATCTTTAACTCAGCCAAGCAACTTTTCTTTGGCTTGTAGGTGAGGCATCGGACTACGACTGATGGCCTGGTTTCATCGCAAGATGTTGATGATCGACCTGGCATTCCTAGATGGCTATTATTATGCACCTACAGACTGGACCTAAAAAAAAGACGATTATGATGCACAGCATGTTTAAAAGCAAGACTGACCTATCCTAAAGAAATCCAAGATGTAGTAAGTAGCATCCTTGCTTGGATTTCAGAAAAGGGAGAGGGAAACAGCACACTACAAAGGCTCACATCTTTCAGAAACTTCTCCAGCTTTAAAACACCATGCAAAAGTTTGACATGAGCGCGATTCAATGGCAAAATGACTCCTATGTGCCATTTGGTTTCCTCTGAAATTATTCTTGGGCTTATCTCCAAATAGACCAGTGAGTTTCTAAGGAACGTTGAGGGTTTGGTGGGGCAGAGAAAAACCTGTTGTTTTAGAACATGAATGGAGGCCTCTAGAACTTGCTGCCGCATTCTTCACGTGAGCTCCTTGAATTGGGACTGCACATGAAGAGAGATGGTTCCATCATAATTTTATTAATGAAGACAAGACTCAAAGCTTTGGCAACGCAATTCAACAACAATAGGAAAGCTCCTTAATATCTGTCTTCTGAAAGCTTGGGGCAACCACAGGGATTTATAATTATTTTTCTGATGCATTGGGCCCCAGCATCTGTTGAAAGGCAGAAATCCAACCTTAGAAACAGGAACAGATTAAGCAAATTAAATGTGTTTATGCACATTTTCTTAACTGCCATAATTTATAGGCCCAGGACTGAATGCCTTGGCAGAGTAAACAGTCCTAAGTAATTGCCACTCAACACCTCCACACAGCCTGTAAAATAAGTTAATTAGATATATAAAACTCTCACGATGATCAATTAGAAGAACAACACATGGTAAAGACTTATTAATGGGTAGAGTAGGGAAGCTCTGTGTTGTCTGGCCCTTGGTGTTTGAAGCAACTCTATGTATTAGGTTGGATACAAAAAGTGGGCCTGGTCACAGAAGGCGCCTGTGACTCTTTGAGTCACACAGTGGAGACCTGCCTCTTCTCTTGCCTCCTTCATCTCCTTCTTTCCACCGTTGAGGAAGGCAGTTGCCCCACCTAGCAAGAGCCTGCAGCTTCCCTCCTTTCCCCTTTCTGTACATCTTGACGCCCCTAAGATCCCTGCTGGTTCTCTACCCTGCTCTAACAGGGACACCTGCTGCCAGCCCCTCACCTGGTACCTTGCTCCATGACCCTTGGTATGCTGCCTCGTATTTCTGCAGCAGCAGCCCACCTCCAGTAGAACCACCTTCCAAGACAGAAGAACCCAAACTGAACAAAGAAGAGGCTGTGACCAAACTGATCTCCCTTTGCTAAGCCACTTGCCCATCATACTCCAAGCCTCTAGTTTTTGCATGAAGCCCCTTTCCACATCATCTGATTCTCCTCTCCAACCTATTCTCACCTCAGCCTTGTCTTCTGGGTAACCTGTGGGCAATTCTGTGATTGCAGGACGTCACTCCTCCCATCAGCCTACCCATGGCAATTTCCCCAAAAGTTACTGCATACAAATAAAAGCTAATACCCTGCCCTCAATATTAGGATGTCAGGCCTAGCCCAAGGAACTCCAAGAGACAATGCAAAATCAGTTCAGCTATGTTTATTAGCTACAATCTCTAGCAAAAATCTCCCAAGACTAAACCCCCAGCTCCCAAGCCAGCCAGCCACAACAGTGTGAATTCCTCAGGGAGGTGCCAGTCTTATACTCTTGTAGTTCCCACGCTCCTGTGGCGAGCTAAGAAAGTGCTTATCTCCCTGAGCCTGGCCTTCATAATTCCATTCCATCACATAGGAGGACATACCTGCAAAGGCCTGTCCTAAGGCTTTCGGCGACAGAAAACATCTGGATGAGATGCATAGAGTGTTACAGAAATTAATATATAGGATTCCACCCCCTCCTGCAGGAAGCTCACTGACAACCACTGAAACAAGGAGGAACGGTCAACTATTACTCCAGCACAGCATTAGCAAGGTGCCAGAAACGGTTTTGTGACTTGGCAGAGGAAAGCCACTAGCAAAACAGAGCAGTGGGAGAGGAAGAGATTTAGAAGAAATCTCCCATTTAGAAGAAACGTGAAACAGGCAAACTGTCCAAATACAGGTTGCGCTTCTGCTCTGATGAACTCATTCCCCAAACTGAGTCAAAGGGTTCATCCACATGGACAGGTTCATCAAATTACAGTATGTAATAAGATAAAGTGGATTTCATTTATTGAATGGATTAAAAATATGATGAGTAAATCAGTATTATTATAAGGATTTTTTTCTTCACTGTGCCTGCTAAGATCACAATTAGGCTGTTTACTATTTTTCTCGACCAGCTACTAACAGACCAACTGAAACCAGGGGAATGATACTTTAGTGGGAGGGAGGTGGCTTCACATGTAAGTCTCAGGGGGCAGGCAGCGGGATGGCTCTTCTCATCCTGGAGAACCTCTTGGAGTAGACAATATTGGGTATGACAAAGAGACTCTTACATTTCTTCAAAAACCAACCAACCAACCAACCAACCAACCAACCAACCAACCAACCAACCAACCTCCTTCCAAGTTGTCACAGTGTATTACTCTCTCTGCCCTTATGCCATTCCCTTTCAGGCTGATCAAAAACTGACCTCTCATACCCTGCACTCTTTTACACTGGAACAAAATGAGCCTGCCATCAACGCATCGGGAAACAGCAGAGTGCCTTGCATTTTGAACTGTCCTTAGGAGCATTAAACACTGAGCCTAAATCAATGCAATGTATTTTGCATTTCCTAAAGCAAAAGGGCAATTTCCCAAGTTTTAAGATTCATTCCTGCTGCCGTCCCCCAAGCTCAGAGCAGGTTGGAGATGTTGGGATAGGCTTGTCTTGGTTTCCTCTCTCCAGCAGAGAACACCAGCAGTGAATGGCTCTGACTATTTCTGGTCTAAACTCTCATTCAAACAAACAAGGAACTCAACAGCCACCTGGGGCTCACCAGAACTATGCTTGTCTGGTCTCTTGAAGCGATCGATCCAACAGGCTAATCACAAGGTCTCAAATCAGATTCAAGTATCACACACACAGTTAGGAAAATTGCATTGGCAGATTGTGGGGGAAAACATCAAGAGGGAATCTAAAGGCAAATGGAGTCAGATTTCAAGGTGAGTCTGACATCTATGAGTTTCCAAGGCAGAATTCCATAAGACTTTCATACGTCAGTGTTGTTTCAGTGAACTTACCGAGCCCAAATTGCTCTCTACAGTCTAGCAGTGTCCCTCAACCACAGCAACTTTAGGACGTCTGGACTTCAACTCCCAGAATTCCCCAGTCAGCACAGGGAAAGTTGCTGAGGTTGAGGATCACTGTGCTAGCAGCTTCTGACCCTGATAAGGTCTGGCTAGACTGGTGGCTCTTGGAAGAGCACTGAACTCCTACAGCTCCCCATCTTTTGCTCAAGTGCTGGCATGCTTGAGGGCCGACTGGAGATGTCTGCTAGACTGAGGGCAAGAACAGTAGAACCGATGGCTAGTTTGGCCTCGTCGGTGGGCCCTGGAGCGCAGGCTCTGCTTTTTGCAGGGCCTCCTCCTGGTCCTCTTCCTAACCCCATCATGGCAAGAGAACCATCCAGTTTGGAAACGGTCTGTCAGTTGTTCTTCCACCTTTCAAGCCACCAGGTAGAAAGGGAACACTATTTTCTTGCAGCTACTGTAAGTCTGTAGGCCTCTTCATCCAGGGAAGCATCCTTCCAGTTCTGAGCTCACAGAAAACACACCAGCTTCCTGGGGGCCTTTTCTTGCTCTTTCTTGGAATGCAAACTCCACATAGTACATCCTACAAGCACTCCACAGGGAGCAGCATAGCGGTTACAGTTGGGGTCTATACGAGAGCAGTGCCATTTTGGGGCCTATGCAAGAGCAGCATCTCTCATTGTGCCCGTTCAGGCCTGAAGGCTGTTCCTCAGCTCACACTGCTCACCTGTAGACACTAAAAGGCAGCCCACTCTCTCTGAGGTGCACGTGAGCCCATAAGAAGCTCCCTTGACATCCCTTTTGCCCACCATGAAAGGGACTACTGAATGCTCTAACAAAGCAGAGGCATGAGAGAGGCCTTGAGCCTTTCCTCAACACAATCATGAGACTGACTACAGGATAATTTAATCTGAACCTTCATACTTTGCACCAGCATTCCTAACCTAGTTTTTTCTAAATGTGCCAGTCTACAACACGGTGCAGAAAGTGTAACGGGGAAGCCACGTGTAGTCTGCCAGTATCCTCTTTTCTGCTTTCAGAGTACATAGCTTCAAACAACCATTTTTATGTCTTGAAGGGTTCTAAGATGTGAAATGAGTGCCTCAGAGCCTGCAGGTGTTTAATGCACTCATTTTATCCCTCCCAAACATGGCTCTGGCCCCATGTGGCCCTCGATATACCAAGCACAACTTTGTGCAGCCACACCTCAGCCTGCAACTTCCACGATCCCTGATCTCTACTCAGACCCTTCACTTGCACAGCTCTATCGAGTAACCTCAGGATGCTGGCGCTATCACCTCCCCAAGCAGCGACTGTGGCAAAGGACCTATTTTAAGCAAGTCCCAGGTTACATTCCATCACGTTCCTACACCTTTTTATTTCAGTCAGAGAGGAGTGGCTGCAACTGTATTTCTCAGCTACGCTAATTAATATTGAAAGTGCATCCCTGCGGACCATTTTTTTAAAAGCTCTCTCGAGCAACGATCTTTCAGCACAATCCATCCATTTTAGCCATGCAGAAATGCAAGGACCCTTCAGGGAAGACATGGCGCTCTGCACTCGCTTGATCACCCCACTGGTGGGCAGGCCTGGCGGAGGCGCAATCCCCCTGGTGCCTTCCCGGGAGAAGCTGTTTCAGAGCGCAACTACTGCAGACCGTCCGGTGACCCAAATCCATCGAGGCAAAGGACGCTCCCGGGGAGAACCATCAGCTTTTGCCCTAATTTATTCCACTAGTCCCCAATCGATATAAATCACAGTAGCTGGCTAGTATTAGTTCTAAAATCCATCTCCCTCTTTCACTTGCATCAGCTCAGCCTGGAAGAAACAGGGGAGAGGAGAAACCGATGGCTCACCCTCCAGTATTAAAATGGTTCGGCTGCCTTTGCGGGCTTGGGGTCTGCCTTGCCAGCTCATCTCCTTCTGCCACCAGCAACTACATACCTAAGCTAATTACGGAATCCTATCCCACAGGCGCCCCAGACCGTTCTCTGATGATATGCGATCTTGCTAAAATGTCAGCCAAGGGCTACGGCTTAGTGCCTGAGCGCTGCCAGCACCACCTGTGTGGCGGCTGCTGGGCTCCCATCTCTGCTCCCAGACTGAGAGACCTCCTGTTGAGCTGCCACAGCCACCAGCTTGCAGCCTTCATTCAGCTCAAGCAGGCAACGTGCTGGAGGCACTGCATTTTGAGTAATTTATCATGGCAGGCTGCGAGGTCAGGAGTAGACCACCAGTTCAACGGTTGGGCAAATGCTGAAAAAGCCTGTCTAGCAGGAGAGAGGGGGATGAGGCTTTGCCCAGGAGCTAAGCTGGGGCTCACCACTACAGGAGGGACGTCTCAAGTGCCACTGCAGGAAACCAGAGAGTGAGTTAGTCAAGCGTAAGAGCCTTTAGGAAGGATTTCCTTGTGGTGATGAGCAGCAAAATGTGATTATTTCTCCACTCTGATCATGTCCACAGGTAGCAGTCCGGCAACCCTGCTCAAAGTGTCCCTGTCCCTCCTCAGTAAAGATGGGCTTGAGGAACATCTGCAAGGCTGCTGTGAAGACTATTCAAGACACCTATCAGATAGTCACTCAGATCTGCTCTGAGATCGACTCAGGTTGGGTGGATCCTACAGAGATGACTGTACCATGGCCTAATGGTTAAGGTACTGTGAGTTCTAAGCCTCCCATAGACATGAGAGCTGGCTGGGTGGCTTTGGGCCAGTCCCTCTCTCTCAGCCCAACCCACCTCACAGGGATGTTGTTGTGGGGGAAATAGGAGGCAGAAGAATTAGGTATGTTTGCCACCTTGAATTATACATAAAGAAGGTGGGATAGAACAACAACATCTGGGAAGAGTCTGAGCCTGCTGGTCCCAAGGAAGGGGACAGAGTCCTCAGGGCTGTAAGTGGGGCCCCTTGTGTATGAGATCCATGTTCCTCTAGGTTGGTTAAGGGCTCCTGGTGATCCAGGTGGTGAGTGCATTCTTGCGGGTGGGAGTGGCCCATTGGCTCTTGCCCTGGACAATTCTCATCCTGTCTCCAACCTCCCTCTTTTAAGGGAAGTTTGTTGAAAAATTGGTTGGCTTAAAGCTCCAGAGGGCCCTGGAGAAAACATATTATCTGGACCCTTTCCAGTCAGGTTTCAGACCAGGATATAGCACTGAGACAGCAATGACTGCACCATAGATGACCTATGGCAGGACTAGGATGGGGGTGATGCATCCATCTTAACCCTACTGGAGCTCTCAATATTTTTGGCACCCTTGATCATGATATCCTTCTGGATCAGCTTCACGGGTCAGAAGTGGAGGCATGTTGTTATGGGTGTTCTCCTTCCTCTGAGGCCAGCTCCAGCTGATATTGGCAAGGGAGGAGAGGTCTAGCCCCAGACCACGCCCCCCCCAACTGTGCAGGGTTCATTATGGTGTATCTTTGTCTGTGGTCCTATTCAACATCTACTTGAAAGTGCTGGGTGAGGTCCTTGGTCAGCACAGAATTAAATATCACCAGTACACTGATGATACACAGTGTTACATCTCTACCCGAGAGCAGCCAAGTGATGCTGTCAAGGTTCTTTCCCAGTGTCTGGAGGGTGTGTGTGTGTGGGGGGGGGGGGGGGTCTGGATGGTAAACAGGCTTTGACTCAACCCAAGCAAGACTGAGTGGCTGTGGGTTTCAGTCCCCCCATAAGATCTGGAGACTTTCCATGTTAGACTTCTGAATGCACTCACCACTCTTCCCCAGACAGAACTAGTGAGCAATTTGAGGGTCTTCTGTGACTGGTGGCTCCTGCTTGAAGAGGTGGCACAACTCTGCACAACTCCATCCTATGCACCAATTGCAGCTGTTCCTAAATTGGGAGGCACTGCTTGCCATCATTCACGCCTTGGGCACTTCCCAGTGGGATTACTGCAACACGCTCCAGATGGGGCTGCCCTTAAATAACATCCAGAAGCTACAGTTGGCCCAAAATGCAGCAGCATAGGTAGTTATTTATGTATCATGGTATGCCCATGTAACACCACTACTTTGCAAACTGCCCTGGCTTCCCAAAGACTTCTGGATGCAATTCAAGGCATTGGTTATAACCTGAAAAGACCTTCATGGCACAGGGCTGGGTTATTCGCAGGACAGCCTATCTCTGATTCTGCCTGCCCTTCCCGTGAGATCCAACAGTGGGCACGCTGTCCCTCTGGAACACCCTGAGACTTCGATGGCCCTGATCCTGCTGGGCATCGATGATGCTTTAACAACTGGTTTTTTTCCTGCAAGCACTGGGTGAGAATGTTGACTGAGCCGATCTGCAAAATTGGTTTAGGTTTCTAAAGGTGTGGTGTTTTAGGGCTTTGGGCTGTGGTGATTCTTCTTTGTTTATTATCTGGTTTTGCATTTAATCTCATGTTACCTTCCCAGAATTGCAATCTGCAAGTTGAGCAGTCATACAAATCATTTAAACAAACAAACCTTGCCGAAATGCAGATGACCAACCGGCTGAGAACTGAGTACTGATCCTACCATCTGGAAAAAGATGAAGTGTTTGGAGGGAAGGGGTGACAGTAGGCTTGAGAGTGGACCATGGATCCTCAGAAGCCATGTAGTTTCTGACTAACCCTGCTAAGTATACACAAAGGAATATTTGTCCAATTCTGACATCTCAAGTTGAAACACAGGATTCAATCTCAGATCACACAGTATGTGTGTCTGTGGGGGAATTCTGTCTGACTCAGAACATCTTAGACCCAGTAGTAGAGAATCTGCGCTCTCCACATATTCTTGCACTGCAACTCCCATCAGCCCCATAAAGAGTTTTTAGATCAGCCTTTCTCAACCTTTTCACCCTGGAAGAATCCTTGAAATAACTTTCAGGTCACAGGAAACCCCTGCATAAAAATCACAAAAAATACAAAAACCTCAAAATACAATTAATTTCTAACCTATACAATCCATGTTTTGCCACATTTACAACAACAGCAAAGCAGCAGGACAGCAGCTAAGTTGCAGCACGTAAAAATTCCCACCAATGTGAGCTCTAGCATTGTGCAGCACATGAAGTTCAAAAAAACAATGTTAATTTTTTTCAGTCACAATCTCTTACAGAACCCCAGGTGAGAAAGGTTATTTTAGAACAACCGAAATTATCCTAAGATAGGAATGGAGAAAGGGACATCTTTAATTGTATATTTGGACACTGTTAGCCATCCAGATTCTTCTGGAGTATATGGCCATAATAAATTTTAAAAAATCAATAATCAATCTTGTGTTAAGATCACCAAGGGCCTGATTATGTTTGTTAACCAGCCACCTTTTATTCACAAACAGGTAAGACTGAATCTTCAGAAGTGGGGGCTGCAGGTTTTAAGCCTGTATCACTGTTAAACTTACTTTGTCTTCTAGCATTGAAGAGGAGAAGGAAATGGTGGACCTGCCGACAGACAATGCATAGGCTCCGGGTGAAGAGTCATGCTAGTGATAATGTGGTTAAGAGAGCAACGGCTATCAGAATGGGATGCAGAAAAGCACTTGGTAAACTCTGAAAACCAGGCAGTGCTGCTAATGTTTCAACTGAGCCATTATTCTAAACGGGGGGAAAAACACTACGAACTATAAGCGTAAACTGAAACTTCATGCGACAAACATCCATCTTGAACATAAACATGGGATTTGCAAGACAGTTTAAAATCCCTGGACCATCGATACGCAAGAAACACGTGCCATGTCCCACTAAGTGCCTGCGGCTGGATCCTCACTTCTGACTGATAGAAAAACACAACAGAAGACGTGCTTGACAGCCAGGAGCTCTGGGGTCCACCCCTGGAACATACCTAGCTTCTCCGGCTCGTCAGGGGCTGTTCCGGCGATGCAGCTGCTCTCCAGCCCGTAGGTGGGGTCCACTTTCCCAGAGACCCGCGCCGCCTCTTGCACTTTCTTGATGTGAGCCTCAACCAGCTCCAGAGGGACTTCCTCTCGGACTCGGGAGAATTCCTCTGTCAAGGAATCATAGATGAAGCTGGACAATCGGAACTTCGTGGAAGGATTTTCAACAATCAAGATAAATGGCAGAAGGCAACAAGCAAGGGGGGCTGGAGGCTGAAGCGGCCTGTGTGAACACCTCAGCTTTGATCAAGCCTTCCAAATGCCAGGATCCTTCCATGCAACTTTTAACAGCGCATTTATGAGCGATCATACAGTGCAACGGGAGGGAATTTCCTTTGCATCTGAGCCAGCGCAAGCACAGATCGAAGCCCTCCTCCTATGGACTTTAGGTGACACCATACCTAAAGCTGCTTTGGCTGCTGCTGAAGCCACCCGGGGATCCACGACTGATGCCAGGAATGCCACAGTGCTCATCACTGGATTTCCAGACTGGCTGAAAGGGACTGGCTGATAAGCCAAAGGGCCCAGGGAAGCATCTGAGTTCTCCAAGTAGGGATCTTCAATGGGAAGTCTCAGGAAATGGAGTATGCACTCGTCCTGGGTGCGGCTCCCTACGTGCTCAGAGACTTTATTCCAGTCATCCTTGTACATCTCCAAAGCCTGACAGAGAGGAAAACATGCTTTTAAGGAGAGGCCCATATGCACCCCAGCATCCCATCAGTGCCAACATCTTCGTACATCTGCTACACATAACAGAAACGACCAGTTCGTCAGATAAATCAAAAACACATTCAGCCTGGTTGAGACTGGATCTAGGTATTAGGAATTCTAATGCAACACAACCACTCTTTTTCACAAACAGTAGGTTTATGGGGTTTTTTTAATGGAGGATAAAACAAACAGCAGTCACAAATATATACAGAAAGAACAGACGGAAAAGCTGAGAAACGTGTATTCCAGAACAGCAAATGCCAGGTCGTTATAATAAAATCAGCTGCAAAGGGAGTTACATGTGTCACAGCAATTACAGCTGTTTGAAGTAGCCCCTGGTCGACCTTGGCTGATCTCAAGAAGCTAAGCGGGCTTGGGCTTGGCTAGTCCTTGGGTGGAGCAACGGGAATGCCATGGTTCTAGGCTTGGTAGGGAAGAGGAGAAGACGATGAAGACGACGAAGAGAGCAGCAGCAGCCGCCAATAGGAAAGCACCCCTGTCCTGTTGCCAAGAAAACAGGATGAATGTCTCTAGGTGGTCCCCAGAAGCTACGCTTGACTTGGGGATGCCTTTCCCTTACTTTTAACTCGATTCTGAGAGGCTGCTTTTCTTTCTCTAGAGCAGGCCAAGAAGTATCCGCCATTCTGGCCGCTGCTAACTTGTCTCACCCATTAACATCTCTCTCTCTGTTTCCAGTCCCACAACCAATGCCACCACTTTTGCCCCTCCCTCCCTCCCGTCTTTGGACTGCATTCAAGGATCCTTCCCTCACAAAGCCCTTTCACTTCCTCGAAGAAAGTGCCTACCCTTGTTTTCTCCTTCCTCCGTGATATCCAGGCTGGGGTGGAATTGCTGTGAGCTTAATTGCTCAGGCATATCTGCCTCTTATCTAAAATGTAGCCTGTATTCTTCCTTTGGGACTGAAGCAAACCAGGTTCTTTGAACTACCTCACCCCCCGTCCCCCAAATCATTAGGTCCAGCTCTGTTCGTTGGAAGGAGAATGCAAAAGATTTAAATTTGCTCTCAGCCTCACAATTCCAATGTCTGGTGGGGGAAGAACTAAATATTTGACTTATGATCCATTCTGTACACACATGCAGTCCATGTCGTGGATGGCAACCAACACCTTCACCTTCCACTTGACATGGAAGAGACCTTATTTCTAAACTTCTCCCACCTACTGCTTTCCAGATGGGCTAAACATCCAATTCTGGTCATTCCCAGTTGGCACGGACAGAATGCTGTGAGGAAAGAATGAAGCTACTGAGAGGGTCAGATCCAAGCAAAAGGAAAGGAAGATGACCCCAAAGTCAAGGAGGTCATCACACTGAGTTCCTCTCCGGGCTGCAGCACAACTCACAAATGCAGCAAGGACAGAGGTAAACTAAAAAAGCTTGTACAAAAAGAAGCGCTAGGAATTTAGTGGATCACGTAGCCTTCCTGTCCCATTTGAAGGTCACCTTGATCTTTCTACCCTGAAAACTCCAAGCTCAATCCAAGCAGAAGCAGCACCCACAGTTCCAGGTGTCTGTATTACAGGCAACAACTACAGCAATTGGAATAATTAGCACATTTGCATGCTTTCAGTAATTTGCATGCATTTGTGAGATTTATTTAGGGCCCTTGGAATATGCATTCTTTCTTAGGGAGGAGGTATCTTTTCACATTATCTGGGCTTTCCATCAAATCTATCCTCAATTTAGGTTCAGATACAAATGCTGGCAAAATACAGTTGCTGCATTTAAATGGCTCCACTTGCCACAAAATGCCCACAACAACTCTAAGAAGAAGGACGTATCTGAGAGGAGGAATAGTTAGGAACTGGAGAAAGGAGCTGAAAAGGAATTGATAGTTGTGCCAAATTCATTTTTTCTTTTGTGATTTAAATAAAAGGAGACAAGTTATCATGTTGTAGGATTCCACTCTGCGCAGTGTGTGTGCAGATTTCCTATAAGGTAGATTCTCTTGAAAACAGACATTTCTTGACCTTCCTGCACTACAGTTTCCCCAGGTCAACTCTGATTACAGTGCATTCTTAGCACATCCTTACTCCCTGCGAACCATTCAGCTGGTAATATCTACTTCACTGTAAATTTGAATTTTCTCTGTATACTGAGGGTTTCCAACAGTTCTATTTAGAAATGGGAGAGTTAAATACAAATTTAAATCCTTTTTAGAGTTTTATCTCTAGGTTTAAAGCAAAAAGAACATATCCAATAGTTTATAGAACGCCAAATTGTGGCACAGAATCCTAGTTTGTAATTTGATGGATGGATTAGTGGATGAATACGCAGTCAGGAAGCTGTCTTGTCATATTGCATAGTAACTGTTCAGTTTTAACACAGTACTACAACATATCGCTGGCCCCTCTTATTTCTGCAAGTTTAAGATCAACTGACACCTCTGGGCTGCTAATAAACCATATTAACACATTTTTTAAAATCACTGCACTATCCTAATCACAACCTTAACAACAAATATAACACACATATACATAAATGTTTAAACAATCAGACACTGTCACGTGCTTTAAATAATATTCTAGGTACTATATTCCTCTCCTGGTAATCAAAGCAGCGTTAACCTCTTTATCTTGAGGTGCGATAACCATTTTCCCTGCCATCAAATTCTTATCGTTGAGCTGTATTTCCACCTCTTAAGCAGACTACAGATGCACCATTTCCAAGACAAATCTAACACACACACACCCCTTTCTGCCAATAACCTCACTTGGCGTACCAGTTACAGGAGGGGCTTTTATAGAAATACGTCATGACGCTGCATCTCACATAGTGAGCGAAGACTGCAGTGCAGAGTCACTTCTGCATGACGTGAATGAAATTGGCTACCCAAAGGTACCAAGAATGGTGCAATCCACGGATTTGGGGCACAATCTTTGCAAACACAGGCCTTGTCTATTTCAATCAATGGCAAATGGGAAAGGCTGTGTCTGGCACATGCATGGAAAACAGGGGCTGTGTATCACAGAACCAGGGACTGAATTAGTTAAGCAAGCGGGAGTGCTTCTGTGTAATATATCATGTTTCAACAGCCAGGTCAGCAAGTGCCAGATATAAAGACAATCCACAACACAGCGCAGAGATTTATCACATAAAGCCAAGCACGAGAGGCTTCAGGTTTATCTTCTGCTTTCTTGAAGACATTTCTAAAGGGCTCGGTCATCTGAAAACCAAACCCAGGTTTAGCCTTTCTTATTCTGCCATTTTTGCAGATGTATGGCTTGTTCTCCTAAAGATGATGTAGAAGGAAGTAGCATGAAACTCAGGTGGGTTTAGATTTGAGCTTCAGAAACTCCAAAGACTAGATTTAAGAAAGAAAAGGTTTATTTCAAGAAAACTGAAGGGAAAATACAACATAATGTGTGCAGAGTCCATGTTTAACCCACTGGCTTACTTTAAACCAGTGTTTCTCAACCTTGGCAGCTTTCAGATAGATGGACTCCAACTCCCATGGCTGGCTGGGGAATTCTGGGAGTTGGAATCCACCCATCTGAAAACTGCCAAGGTTGAGAAACACTGATTTAGATACTACATAATGAAGGACACGGGGAGCCTCATCTCTCCTAAATGCCACCTCCAAGTCTGAATTAATTTACTCCTCCTTGTTCAGGCTGCAATTATTCACACACGGCCAGAGCTTAAGCACTCTCCAACCCCAGTTAACAAAACGGCAGCCTTTAGCACTTACTTGTCACTGAAGACGCCTGCGGAGTAGCATCAATCGAAACCATTTGGAAAAAGGCCCTGCCCGATCCATGGAAACACACTTTGCCAGATGCCGTGTAAGCAGGTGTCTGGTAAGGGACGGAGGCAGGGCGGAGAAGCAAGGGGTCCGGACAGTAATCCCCTACCTCTTGTCTGCCTTCTTAACAGGAAAGGACAAGGAGAGGGTAGCTGGCCGCGTTGCTTCATTCAGTGCACTATATGGAAAGGCACAAGACCAGCCTAAGGAAGCCTCTATCTAGGTTCTCTTAATAGGCTGAACCCAAAGAATATCCCAAGGCTTTCCTCAACCTCTCCTTAGGGGTGCCCAGATGGTGGTTGAACTCAGTTATTTGGGAAACGGCTTGCTTTTAAGCCACAAGTTCCTCTCAGAGGAAATTTCCTCTCTTGGAAAGAGCTGAACCTGTGCTGGCTCTTTTCCTAAAGCGAGAAGGAGGGTCACTTCACTTGCGGGAGAGATCACAGCCATAAGGGAGAGAGACATCTGCTACTTAGGAGAAAGTTTATGACTGATCCAGACAAAATATTAAAATGCAGAGACCTCTCGCTGACAACAAAGGGTATGTATTATTAAAGCCACCTTTTCCCCAGTTGTCATGTGCGGCTGTGACTGGTGGACCATCAGAAAGGCTGAACGAAGAAAGATTGACGCCTTTGATTTGTGGCGCTGCAAAAGCTGCTGAGAAGACCCCGGACTACCAGAAGAACAAATCATTTGATACAGATGAAAACGAGCTTGCTCACTGGGAGCACCAGTAAGGAAGCCAACGCCTGGATATTTGGACATGTAACGGGAAGGTGGAGGTCACTGGAGAAGACTCTGATGCTTGGAAAAACGGAAGACCATAAAGAGGAGGCTGACAGAGGGTGAGGTGGCTGGATATCATCACTGACAGAGGAGTGACAAAGAAACAGACCTGGAGAAATTGTATCCCCGGCTCACAGTCAGAAGCAACCGAACAATAACATTGCCAGCGTAACTCCAGTCGCGTTACAAACACCTACACTCTCACTCACACACACACACACTCAGCCTACATTTTCCTGAGAGTCAGACAATTTGACTGGGTGTGTGTTGCACTCAAGCAGAAAATGGCCGCTCCATCAGAGAACGCTGGCTCCCATTTCCCTCCTGCTAATAGTTTGGCTATTCAAGTATTTATTTATTAATCAAATTGGTACAGCTGCCCATCTCACAGAAAAGCGACTGGGAGGCTTACAGGCTTACTTCTATTACAGTTAGCAAGTTCCCCCATGCGTGTGAAAGAGATCTTGGAACAGCAACGTACAAAAAACGTGGCCCTCTTAGACCAACAGCACAGCTGGGGCTCACTAGCAGCCCGATCCAGAACAGTGAAAACAAAACGAAGCCACAAATCATGACACTGCAGAGGCGCTCAGAAGCTGCATCCCGGCGCAGGGAGAAATCCAGTCTTTCTTAAAACGAAGAGACCGGTTCCATCTCTCAGGTTCCTGACCAAGATGATAAGATTCATTCAGAAGCTCCTGCTAGAGTCGGGAGCGGCAGAAACATCTGTAGATGCCCATAAACCTCTGCGCATACTTTCTTCCTTGATGACTTAAGGTCAAACTACTATTTTAATGCTCTTTTTCAAGACCCTGAGACAGAAGGGCAGCAAGTTTGCAATTCATCTCATTAACAGGGAAAGGCAGATCATCTGATGAAAATGTCAGGGAGAAGTTCCACCAAGGCCTTTTGGAGAAAGGTTCTGCTAAGAAGCAATATTTTCATTTCGCAACCAGACTGGAGAACATGTTATGACTCAGAGCATTTTGGGGTTGCTGCGTTATCCTCTCCAAAGGGCTACTTGAAAACAACACTCAGAAAACACAGCATTGTCTTTTCTCAAATAGTCATTGTACAAATCTTAAGCAGAGGCTTTTGCTGCTCACACGAGAGGGGAAAATGGTGGCAGCTTTTCATCACTGCCCTGGATCCTGAAACCACTTCTCCCACAAGCCTGTGAAGCTATGGGTTGAGATTCCTCTCCTCCTCTGAACTGGGGCTGGTCTCTGGTCACGGCTGTGTTTGCAACCATCACCTCAAAGATGCTCCCCTGAGGCCAGCTTTGGTAACCTTTTCAACAATGCAAAACTGTATATTGCTAGCACCTTGAAGATGCTCCCATATGTTAACATCTTACTGACCATCAACATCTTGGAAGATATTATTTGTGTATGTGTTTGACTTTTATTCTATTTTTATTGTATTTTATATTGTTTTATTGTATTTTAATATTTATTGCTATTTTATTGTGAACCGCCCAGAGTCACTTTTTGTGAGATGTGTATATTGCTAGGACCTTGAAGATGCTCCCATATGTTAACATCTTACTGACCATCAACATCTTGGAAGATATTATTTGTGTATGTGTTTGACTTTTATTCTATTTTTATTGTATTTTATATTG